GATCATTTATATTTTATTGTAATCTAAAATTTTTAAATGTATTCCTTTAATTATATTTTATATGTATAAATATAATATACAATAGGTTAATTTTTAAGTATTTTTGCCCTTTTAAATGCTTCAAATTCTGATATTTCTAGTTATTAAATTAAAGACCATTTTAAAATATAACCAATTAAAAATCATTTCAAATGCTTAAATTTTTGTTTGTCATATAAGGAGTGTTTTGTGTTGTGGTGTGATTGAGAAGAGTAGTTACTGAATTATTGAACTTTATGTACTAATTTGGTTAGTTTATTTGAATGTTGTATTATAATTAATATGTATATGACTTTAGCAGGGGCGGAATGGCTCCAAAATTCTTACCGGGAAAACCAATATTTTCAAGCTACTAAATCTTATAGGGATCTTATTGTACTGATCATCACATATGTCTTCCTATTTTATTATTTCCTGTTTCATTGTACGCTATAAAAAAAAAAAAAAATTAATAATGGTTTATACCATTATATTACTTAAGGCTGCAATGATTTTTCTAGTAGAATATGTTCTTGACACCTAGTTTTTGGAACTTCTTATCTAAAAGTTATTAATTTCGTTTGAATTTAGCTTTGAAAAATTTACTAATCTAACGGTGTTAATGTTTCAAACAGTGTGCCACTCCGCCCCTAAACTTTAAAACCTAATAGTTAAACATAAACAGCATTTGAAAACAAATTCAGGATTTTGAATAAATTTATAGTTGAAGCATTAAAATTGGACAAGCATGCTAAATAAATTACTCTACAAGGTGATTCTTTTATCATAAAACACTAATTATTTCAAAAAGTATTAATGTTAGTCAAAATATTTTTTTACATAGTTTCAAGTTGTTTAAAAAATCATATTTTCAAATATTTTTTATTCTTATATTATTTTGAGTTTTTACTTTTTTGAATGACAACTAATAGTTTGATTTCATATTCCAAAGCAGAATATTTTTTACATAAAAATTGAATTTAGGACGAGTAGTTTATGAGTTATAAGTATTTAAAGTTTAGACAAGCGGAGTAGTGGACAAAAATTTTGCGGGGGAAGCCCGCACCACTCCACTCCTATCTGTACTTTAAATACTTATAACTCATAAGCTACTCACCCTAAATTCGATTTTTATGAATCAAAATACTTAGAAAAATATTCTGCTTTGGAATATGAAATAAAAACTTGTCATTTAAAAAAGTAAAAACTCAAAAGAATATGACTTTCTAAAATAATGAGTGTTTCATGATAAAAGAATCACTGTATACATGAAATAAATTTTAAATTTCACAAATTATTGTATTCTTAATAAAAACATTTATGTATGTAAGCCTTGTATTTTGTGTTTCTTTTTGATGTTCTGATGTACCTAATACATTTGTATAAATTTTTTATTATTTTTTATCTTCTTCGGCGGGACGTTATTTATACTCTTTTTTTTTATTATTATTGAATTGTTATACTCATGTAACTTATTCAGGAGATATTGATATCAGTTTCCATTATTTAATACTAATGAATTTGTACTTTGTTAGATAATAATTTATGTTTAAAATTAAGTATTCGTAAGAATAAACTACCTTTGTAGATTAGTGATTTAAGTTTTTTTTTTTATCAATATATATCTACATTTGAATGGATTATAATTTCTTGTGTATGAATTGCGTTAAACTTTTTATCCTACCCCCATTAACTAGCTCATGTATGTGCATATTGTTCTCAAGCAGCTCCATTTGTTTCCCCATGAAAATTCTCGTTAATTATTATCTATCTTTTGGTATGTATGAAAATTGAAATATGATGTAAATTAAAAACAATAGTTGTGTAACATTAAACAAAAAATGTTAATAAACGATACATTTATAATTTAATCTTTTATAAATTTATAATAATTAATAATTGCTACCACAAACGGCTACATTTCGGAAAACAAAACTAGTAAATTCAGCATTAGTGAAACTTGATGGAATCATTACTTATTTGCTCATTAAACAATATTAATAACTAAGGCTGGAATATTCTTTCACTTTTGGTGTTTTTGAATTAGAAATTATATTTTTATACTTATATAATTTTTGTATAAATTTAACAATTTATAAAGTAGGTTCTCGTATATTATTGGATAATAGTAATGAAATCCTAGGACCTAGACTATGAGTAACAGCTTGATGGTGGTCTAATCTGTTGGAACAATAAAATTAACTTTAGACAATACTGTTCAGCATGTGTTGTACTGTTGTAACACGTGTGCATTTATTTTCCATTACTTTAGTCAATTGTGTTTAATAGTTTAACATGATTAAAAATGCCAAAAGTAAATTGTTTGACGGTGAATCGTAATAATTGTTTTTCTAGATTAAAGAAAATCCAAAATATTTTAACAATCAGTTCTGCCATCTGCCTGTAAAACATTTTACAATTCTATAACATTTATATTATCATTTATACCAAAATAAATAAAAATAAATTTAGTGCATTATTTAGAATTATCAGGACATAAAAGTATTCTTTGGGTTTGTTTAGGGCATTAAAATCCCAGCCTTTTAAAAACTCAAAAAATAATTTTATTAAAACTCGGCCAATCATCAATTGCTTGTCTTAAGAAATTTGTATTCCACCAAAAACATATATGTAAAATGAGAGCCAAGTTCAATACTATAATATATGCCTTGGTTGTTGGCTTCAGCGACAAAAGAAGTGAGATCTAAATGGGTGCCAAGTTAGAATCAATATATTAGGCATATATTATAGTATTGAACTTGGCTCTCATTTTACATATATGTTTTTGGTGGGATATCATTACTTTTTGTATGTAAATTATTATAACCTAACCATGACATATTCTATAAATAAAGTTTATTACTATACAGGGTGTCCCGTGAGGATTTACTCATTGCGATATCTCCTGAAATAATGGAGATATCGTAATTATGTTTTTTTATTAAGACTCGCAGAGGTAAGCACTACAAATATTTTATTTTTTAATTAAATTAAATTTTTTAGTAAAAAAGTTAAAAAAATTATTTTTTTATTTTTGAAAAAATTGAAGATAGCTATTCTATAGAGTATATTTTTGTGAACATTTTGAGCTTTTAACATTTTATTTTCATTAATCTCATGATTTTTAATAATTTTTTTAGTTTATTAGTAAAACGTCAATAAACTGGTTTTTGTCCGGGCGGCGAGTCCCCCTCTACGGCTAATGAGTAAATCCTCACGGGACACCCTGTATACTATAATTCAGTTACTAACATTTAAAATATTTATTATAAAATATTTTCTGTTGTATACAGAGTATAAAATATAAAATTATTTTATCTCTTTGAGTATATTTTTAATTATCATAATTTTATTTACTATAATTTCTACTGGTGGTTGGGTAATTCATAATCGTAAGAAAAATTATTTAATTATTTTAATAGTAATTTTTTTAAAAATTTATATTAATTACATACATAGAAAAAAGTGTGTTGCTGCGCGAGGGTCGCCAATATCGACACATATTCGACTGGACGTATTTTTGGAGCGGCGATACGGGAGAGGTTAGTGGAGTTATATAAGTCAACATTATATTACATTACATTAAATTAGAGGCACTTAATTAATTAATTGAAAAATTAAATATAATAGATCAAATAATTGAAAAATTATAATAAAATCAATTGATTAAAAAACTAAAAAAATTTAAGTTTCTGATTTTTTCCTTTGTACTAACCTAACTACCTATCTGTATGCCAAATTTGAACTTTCTAGGTCATCTGGAACTGGGTTAGAATTTTGATCTGCAGTGAGTGATAAAAATGACGATTTTGGGACGTTAATATCTAAATAAGGGTTTTAGGTGTGTTTATGAAATTTGGAGGACATATGTATCTCGTAAGTCTGAATATATGAGCCAAATTTGACATGTTTATGTGGAATATATTTTGAATTATGAGTGGGTCAAAAGTGGCTCCAAATGGTTCGTGTAATATTACACACAGTGCTGCTCGCCATTTCTGTTAGCTAGAACTTGGCTCGACACGCTACCACATGTCTAGATAATTTAAAATATATTACTACTGGTCACAATTCATCCTATGTACAGGCATAAATACTATTATCATATAATAAACAGTAGTTATATAGACATGTCGACCATAGAGTATTACTCTGACCTACTCTGCTACCTGTCGGTGGCCTGGTTATTTTCATAGATACCATGGTCAAGCTCAACCAATGTATGGCACCAAAATGCCTATACATGACCTAGATTGGCACTTTATAATATTATATAAGTGTCTGTATACTTAGGGTTTATGTGTATATAATTTTTTTCTAATAACATTATGTTTATTTCTCAATACCTACTGAAATAAACATAAATTTGACATCAATATGATTATGGCATGACTATTTAGACACAAAAACAAGTAATAAATATAATTTACATGTAATTAAATAATTAGTGATACATTACAAACAAAATGTATAGGTATATTACAATTTGTATATTTACAATTAATAATTTTACTTTACCTCACTCGGTTTACATATAAGCATCTTCACGTTCTATGTTATTAAGATCGAGTAATAGTTAAAATATGTGTACAGTAATCCCTAGATATCCGTGGACGTGGAGGTTAGATTCCAGTATTCCACCAAAGTTGAGCGGATAACTAGACCAATATATAGCCCATAGTTTGTATAAAGGCGATAAAATGTATAGATTATTAAATAAAGGGTATTTTCCACTAACTGTGGATAATTCAAAACAGTGAATAACTGCATTTTAAATTATAATTTTTATTTTTTACACAATATTATAACATTTATTTTTAATTTTCAACAGTATTTCACAATTGAAACAATTTATACCAGTGTTGTAAAATATTCAATAATAATATTAATAAAATATCTTATCCTTTCTAAGTAATATAGTTTAAAACCCATAGTATTACAATTATTATTAATACAATTTCATATGTTCACATAATTAGTATTCATTTTTTCATTTTCATTATTCCTTTAGTCCTAAGGTATCGTACAATTAATGGTACGGATATAAGTGTTATTGAAATGCGTACTGGAGCAAAAGATTTATGAATGGCATATGCAATGATAAACTGACTCGCTCCAGCCACAATTTTAGTGTTCTCGTTTGCATTTGACAGACCCATCCACCCAATCCACTGTTGGACGTCAACACCATTACTAATGAAAAAATACACCGAACCTAATGATATCAATGAGATTCCAACGTGGAACACAATTAACACAGAACCGTATTCTTTAGCAGCAATTTTCAGTTTTTCACGTGGAGTCAACTCTGATGGTTTTACATGACAAAAACGAGTAAAGGAAATCCATGATGGATACTGTACTGATGGCTTAGTCCAACGGTTCAACTGTTGTGTTTGACTATGTTGTGGAATCGATACAAATCTGCAAGAGTGAAAATTACATTTAAAACCTCTAATGGCGGGACCGCTAATTTTCGGAAACGATGTTAAAACTTTCAACATAATTCAACCGTTTTGCTAGAATGTAACATTAAACTTCAAAGGATAACTGAAAATTAAATGGTTTTTAATATTATGAACAATCGAGAAACTAATTTTCCGATGTCGTGACGTCGTGTCAATTCTGAAATCTGAATTATTGTCCTGTTACTTGTTAGTTCACTTCAAAACGCATAGATTATCTATGCTTCAAGGTGTATGAATACACCTTAGATCATATACTATGGATGGAGCCACTGCATATTATTTTGAAGCCGATATTAGCGACGAGTCACCGAATTAGGTGATCGATATGCGCATGCGCGAAACAACTCGTTTAATATTAATATTATAACTGTCCCCATCCCAGCCGAGTCACTGAATTAGGTGTTCGATATGCGCATGCGCAACGCAACCTCTCGCATATTTATCAGCTGGTGATTATAATATTAATATTAAACGAGTTGTTTCGCGCATGCGCATATCGATCACCTAATTCGGTGACTCGTCGCTAATATCGGCTTCAACTTTTTGTATTGCTATAATACGCAGTGGCTCCATCCATAGTATATGATCTAAGGAATACACCTTGCTATGCTTAAAAGTGAGCAGTGCTGATAACAGTGATAATAACTTATCAGTACAGTGTTGTGGTTGTAGCACGGTTTAAGATATACTATTTACAAATTCATTTAATTGTATATTTGGTCTCATGTGTGTTGTCGATGTAAATCTAAGTATAAGTGTATAACTAAGGTGACCATACGTCCCGCTTTGGGCGGGACAGTACCGCTTTCGAGCTAAGTATCCCGCTGTCGGGCTGTCCCCAAAGAACTTAAAAATGTCCCGCTTTAAGAAAAGTCGACTTGTGGTAAGTATTTATTGATCACAAATCACAATCATACATTATTTATACTGTATAAGACGTATAGTATAACTACGTAATATATATAGTTATAGTAAAACTAGATGGCTTGCGTTGATGCCTGCACTGGAAAGAGTTTTGAAAATGTTTCAGCCATTAAAAAATTATTTTCTGAGCATTGATAAATGCCCTAATATACTGAAAGAATTTTTTGAAAATCCCAGCTCTGAATTATGGTTGTATTTTATGCACGCTCAATCAGCTACATTTCATCAAGCTGTATTAAAGATCGAGGGCCAAAACGTGTCTGCAATAGATGCCGCAAATGAAATTAATCAACTTCAAAATAATTGAAATCAAAAACAAAATTCATGCTATATTCCCCACGCCACCCGTAGTATAATGGTAAAATTACAAGAAACTGGTGATATAAATGAAGAAAACGTAAAAACTGCAGCGTCTAATTTTTATAAAACAAGCAAAGAATATTTGGAGCAGTGGTGTCAGTTCAACGAAGAAGTAAAAAAATTTGAATGGGCAAATCTGAGAAAGGTTCCCTCGTGGGAAGATGTACAAAAAGTGATGGACTTACTTATTGAACAGAAATTTATTATAAAAAAAAAAAAAAAAAAAAATAGTAGCAGTCAAGACACAGGAGTGTTTGAAGAGTTTTCACTAATTTCTAAGTATATAACAACTCAAAAAATATACGACTGGAACACCGGGAATATACCTACCTACTGAAAATCGTTGGGTGGAAGTATTTACGCACTTTAGTGCTAATGACCTCTCACACGTGAATTTTTCTATAATTATTGAATACATATTGTGTCTGCCAGGCAGTAATGCTCCAGTTGAAAGAGTGTTCTCTCTTATGAATAAAATATGGAGCAGCGAAAAAAGTCAGTTGGGAGTCGGTGTATTAAAAGCTATTCTTATCACAAAGGGTAATATCAACAAATCATGTCAAGAGTTCCATTCTTACATAAAAACCAAACAGGCTATTTTGAAGAAGATTTGTGGATCTGACAAATATAAATCAGCCGAATAATATACTCTATTATTTATTTTTACATTATTATTATTATTATTATTAATATATTAGTTCCGTTTTTCTGTTGCCATTTTTTATACAAATACTTTATGTTTTTTTTCCAATAAAAAAATTGTTATTTTTCGCAAAATGATGTGGTTTTCTTATTAAAATGTACAGGTGTCCCGCTTTGAAGAAAAAAAAATATGGTGACGTTATGTATAACTAATGTGTGTTAACAGTTAACACCGACGGGTATATCTATAACAAATTGTGATTCACACAATATGTCTTTTGTAATTAACAGATTTTGAATAGGTCATTAATATGGCTGAATGAATGGGAATATAACCTGAGCGACGGATTTATTACGATAAATGAATTTTTGACAAAAACAACTGCAGAAGGATTAAGAATAAGTTTAAAATCTACTATTGATTTAGTGTATTATTTGTTAAATGATTGCAATTTTTCCTATGTTTTAACTGGTAAATTGAATAATGACTGTCTTGAGGTAATATTTTTTCTGTATTATATAACTTTATTCAGAACAAATTAAAATTTAATTGTTAAATTATAGAAATTTTTTGGGATAATTAGGCAAGTGGCAGGCCCCAATGATCACCCAGCCACCCCAACTTTCCTACAACTGTATGTCTGTATAGAATATTATCTGTATACTCATTAGTAAAGGCTCCAAAAACCGGAAATTGTTCTGTATCCACTATCCACTGCCCACTGGTGAACAAATATACTATTTTTTTTAATCTCCAAAATTATAATATGTACTTTGTTATTTAAATAATATTTTTTTTAGAAAATATTCCTGTTATTACAGTCTGAGATTTAAAAGACATAATTCTAGATCCAGAAAATACTCCAGATAGAATTAAAAAAATAGAGTCACTAAAAAAGAAAATTGATACAATTGTAGAAGATGTTCATTATGATTGCGATGATATTTTTCTTGACAATGATTACACTGAATCAACCTCATTTGAATGTGTTATGTATTATTTAGCAGAGTACACACACATATATTTTCTGTTTGATTAATATTTTCTTTATTTAATTTTTAATATTTTTGTTTTTTTTTTTAAAATAGGTACATAGCAAAACGCATAATAAAAAATTCAAAGCGTGACGTTTGTATAAACAATTTAAAAAGTTTCAATACTGAATTCAGAAGTGAAGTATGCTTGGTAAACATGAAGTCCCGCGGATTTTTGATTAATCCTGATCAAAACTTGCACCAAATCCTAAAATTATTAGAAAGATGTTTTGCTCAGCATGCAAATTCTGAAAATGCATTTGAACAGACGTTTGAAGAATTTTTCAAAATTAATCATTTACAGTTGAAATTCCCTTGTACTGAGCATAAGTCTCAAGTTATGTGTGATATATTCACATACTACATAACTATGAGAATGCGTCAGTTCACATATATGGTTAACTAAGAAAATAAAAAGAGCAATAGAAATAAAAAAAATATATCAAAATTAACCGACAATTGATAGCTATAGTATTTTTTGAAAAAAATTTACATAAAATTGTATGCACCTCTGCATGATATTTTTCTTACTGCATTTTTTTTAATTACCTATCTATTTGGATTATTATTATATACTTTTAACATTATTAAAGATGTACAATTTAATGTCTAATTTTATATTGAATATTTGAAATTTGAATCTCTAGTAAATTGGTACTAGATAATACAAAAATAAGAATAATATGTATTACTCATTTACTCATGTAGCCAGGTGTAATTTAAATATCTCATAAGCCAATAAGCCATGTCGTGAAACGGTTTCAACTTTTTTCCACCATGAGCGCTACAGTTTAGTTCTAAGTGCATTTTCATGACTGATCGGGAAGGGCCATTTTTTTTTGATTAGTTGTGTAACCAGTATATCTTAAACCGTGGGTTGTAGCCACGATTAAAATTTAAAGGTGTAGGTACAAGGTTATTGCACATCAAGGTTAATATAAATCTATTTATAAGAGGATAACAACTGTTTTACGCGGGACAACTTTTATCTTTCTGTGTTTTTAGTAATGGCTCCTAAATTTCTGAACATATAGGGTAGAAAATTATCTATGCAACAGCGTGCCTATATTTTAGATAACATAAATACTATAAAAGTTATTTGCTTCTAGACATTTCGTTTTATTGTTTTTTTTTTTCATTTGCTTATAAAAAATGATTGGATAGTGCTATTAAAAAAACTGTTTCACAGATAAAGTTCTTCTTTACGTGGTGTGAAAATTTGGTAGTTCTACAACAAACATGGTGCGAGGAAAGTTGTCCCGCTCAAAACAGTTTTTGCTATGTTGTACATTTGTAAAACGGAGACAACACATGCGGGTATGACGTCCTCTTAACCTTGATTGCACATAGCCTATATTGTTATTAATTGTTATCCTATATTGTTAACCTGATATTCAAAGGAAGCAGTGCCGTAACTAGGCTACTTGAGGCCTGTGTGCAAACCAAAATATTGAGGCCCCTTATTATCTTTTTCAATACACAACTCAAAAACTTTTTTTGCAATTTTTAAAGTCAGCAGACAAAAAAACCGGTCGACAATTCTGCCGATTTTTTTGTATTCAGAAGGGCCAGTTCTATAGACCATAAAAAAATTAGGTTGTACAATAAATAAATTAACAATACAATTCAGCCTAATTGAAAATATAATTTATTGTGATTTAAATAGGTAAGTTGGGAATTTCAATCTTGAAGTGGTTGAAAAATTGCAATATTTTATGGATATGGCAGAGCTTGCAAACGTTATAATAACATTATGATTATTGATTATAACGTTTTATTTTTTACAAAAAACGATACATGTTTGTAAACGTAATTATAACGGAATGCGATAATCAAAAATAATTAAATACAGCATAACAAAACATATAAAACGGTTTTAAATTCTTAAACTACATAGCGCTAGCGTTTTAACTTTCAAAACGGTTTGAGTATAAACCGTTTTAACGCCATCATATAAACCTAGTAATTTACTAGGTTAAAAAATAAATAATAAATAATTTATATATTTTAATAATTTTATATTAGTTTAATATTAGTCTTTAGATCTTCTGAGGCCCTTCGATATATTATGGGGC